ATGTGTCCTTGGTGCAAAGCTCATTCTGAGAATACGAATCATATCTTTTTTCATTGCCCAATAGTCAAACCTATATGGGATTATTTCGCTAGTGTGCTAGGAATTTCCCAGAATGGTTACTCTATTAGACAGGTTTTCTTCCAATGGTGGATGCAGGCTGGAAGTAAAACTATGATGGATATCTTTAAACATAACTTGCCAGGCATCATTTGTTGGCATTTATGGAAGATATATACTGGTATTACTTGGGGGTCTAATAAATCTATTCCTAGTGTGGATCTGATTATATGGCAGATCAAACTTTACACTCAAGCATGGGTTCTGAGTCTTTCTCATATGAAACTACTTACGGTTGGAGAAGTTTTGTATTTTGAGAAAATGATTCCCCAATCCTTTAAGCTTTCTAATAGAATTTTCAGACAGGTTTGCTGGATGAAACCAAAGGGTAGGTTAAAGCTTAATATTGACGCAGGGTTCTTACCTCCAAGAGTCTCGGGTGGAGCGATGATGAGAAATGAGCAAGGTGAGTTCGTCTTTGGCCTTCAGTTTCCAGTGACGGCATATTCGAGTGTGGAAGCTGAGCTTCGAGCGGCCTTTATTGCTATAAGCTGGGCGATGGAAGAAGGTTATGTTGGATTTCAGGTTGAAATTGATGCATCTAAGGTGTTCGAGTTTATTTTAGGCAAGCGGCATTGTATTTGGACAGCGATTACAGATCAGATTTCGGACATGGCTAGACGGGCCAACATTACTTTTGGGCTTGTTCTGCGGGAAGGAAACTGGCCTGCTCATTATTTAGCTAGTTCTCAAGTGGCCCAACTCACTACTTATTATACTCTTTTCTCGCTTCCTCCTCTAGTTAGAAGTGCTTATTACCTAGATTTATTTAATATTCCTTCGTTTCGTTGTAATGTCTAATTTTACTCGGCTTTGGGTCAGGTCTAGCCCCCCCAAAGTCCAGTTTTTAATTTACCTTCTGTCATGTATTTTTTGGAGGTTTGTCTCCAATGAGGGGTTTTGGTCTAGTCCCCCCCTCTCTTTGTAACTTTTAAAATTAATAAAACTCGGTAAATGTTTCCCGGCATTTACCCCACTGATTTTGGTGGTTTGCCTTCCGGGATAAAAAAAAAAAAAAAACTCAAACCACCTCTCCAGAAACAGTTGGGGTTATAGGTACCTGGGTCTTTGACCAAACTCTAATCAGGAGAGCTCTTGCAGAAATGTTAATAATTGATGAGCTTTCATTTAGGTTTGTTGAGAGGCAGGGGTTTAGAAAGTTTGTGTCTGTGGCATGTCCAAGATTTGTTGTCCCTTCTAGGTGGACTATTGCTAGGGACATCTACCAAATATATCTAGATGAGAAGCTGAGTCTTAAAAGGTTGTTCAAAGAGACCACCCAAAGGGTCAGTATAACAACTGACACATGGACCTCTATTCAGAGGATCAACTACATGTGTATTACTGCTCATTTCATAGATAGTCAGTGGAAGCTAAAGAAAAAGGTGATTTCTTTTGTGCAAGTCACTTCCCACAAAGGGGAGTACATTGCCAAGGCCCTAGAACATTGCTTATTAGAGTGGGGATTAAAAAATATATTCTCTGTGACTGTTGATAATGCAAGCAGTAATGATACTGCAATAGGATTTTTAAAGAAAAAATTGTTGTCATGGGGTGCTTCTCCTGTTAGAGTGAAGTACCTACACATGAGATGTATTGCCCACATCTTGAATCTGGCAGTCCAAGATGGGTTGAAGGAGGCTGATAAATCTGTAGTGAGGGTTAGGGAAGCAGTGAAGTATGTTAGGAACTCTCCTTCTAGACTCCAAAAATTTAAGGATATATCTGATTTGATAGGAGCAGAGTCCAAATGTGGCCTGCACCTAGATGTTCCTACCAGGTGGAACTCCACCTATCTGATGTTGAAATCAGCATTATCAAATGAAAGAGTTTTTGAAGAATATGAGGAAAATGAGAGTTGTTATGGGTCTGATTTAGGTGCAGAAGTGCCTGATATTGGTGATTGGGTGAATTGTGAATCCTTAGTATCAGTTCTTGAAAGTTTTTATGAAATGACCCTAAGGATTTCTGGATCTTTGTATGTTACTTCCAATACTTTCTTCTCTGAAATTTCTGATTTGTTTTTGGTGCTTCAAGACATGATGAAGTCTCCCAAGGCTTCCACAAGTAAAATGGGCTCTACAATGAAATCCAAACTGGATAAATATTGGGGAGACCCAGAGAAAATGAACTTTCTGATCTTTTTTGCTAATGAGCTTGACCCAAGGGACAAGTTTGAATACATGCCTTTTCAACTGAATGCCCTTTATACTGAAGCAAAGGGTGTGAAGTTCTTTGAAAGTATCAAGCTTGCTTTGCATGAGTTATTTAATGATTATGTGTCCAACTACTCTGATTCTGGTACTGGAAGTAATATTTCAAGCTCAACTCCCTCTCAAACACAATTAGAGACTGTGTCTGCAAGACCTATCTCCAAATTGAAAGCCCAGCTTAAAAAACAGAAGTTTGAGAATGGACAGTTGGGTTTGAAACAAAGTGAGCTGGAACTGTACTTGAGTGAGGCCATAATTGAAGAGGATACAGATTTTGACATTTTAAGGTGGTGGAAGTTAAACAGTGAGAGGTTTCCCGTCCTCTCAAAAATGGCTAGAGATATTCTTGCTGTTCCAATCTCTACTGTTGCATCTGAGTCCACTTTCAGTACTAGTGGCAGAGTGTTAGACTGTTTCAGAAGTTCATTAAGCCCTAAAATTGTGGAAGCTTTAATCTGTACTCAAGATTGGCTAAGAAATCATAACCACCCTATCTCAGTTGAAGAAAATATAGATGAAGTTCAAAGGCTAGAAACAGGTGCATTTAAAGTTTTTTTCTTTTACATATAATATACTTCATATGTTTTATTGTACACTAAACAGGTTTTTTTTTTGCAGAATTACTTGATGGTAATGTCACTGCTGATCCTGATGGCCATGTTGGTGGATCTTCTCAGGATCCTATTGCAGTAAAAAACTGCTTTCATGCCTTTTATTACTTATTTATTGTTGACAGTGTGAATGACTAATTTGTTTAGCAGTTTGATTGGATGATGGAAGCAATAAATCTAGTAATGAATGGTAACACAAGCTTATTGCCCATTTGCCCTTTGTGATTTCTGAACTTAGAATGAATGGTAACACGACCTTATTCTCCTTTAATCATTTCAATCATCTATTGGGTAATAGGCTAATGGCTTTGGCTATGATGAAGCTTCCACAATCAACTGATTTTTGATGGGTTGGTGTTGTTTTTTAAGTGCTGGCTTGGTAACTTTAGGTCTATAGTTGCCGCCAGTTACTTCAAATGTTTATGCCCCCATACAAAATTTGAATTGGAAAATAAGCTATCTGAGCCTATGTCACTTGTTAACTGTTTTTGGTAATACAACCTTGTTCTCTCTTTATCATTTCAATCATTTACTCAATTACTTGGCTATGATGAAGCTTCCACAACAAACTTATTTGTCATGGGTTGGTGTTCTGTTAAGTTATGGCTAGGTAACTATAGTTGCCGTCATTTACTTGATATAATATGCCCCATACAAAATATGATCTGAAAATTAGCTATCTGAGCCAATATTTACCTTAGACAATGTGATGATTACAGATTTACAGGTTTTTAACAATACAATTTGTTTATTAGAGGCTTGATATGTACTTTAGTACTTAATGACATTATTGTATTTTTTTTATAGGTTCAAGTTTGAGAAGGCAGTAGTATAAACAGTTGAATGGGCGCTTACGGATTGTTTTTGTCAATTTATGTTATGATTATTTTGTTATGTGTTAAACACTAATACACATTATTTGGTTAGTCAGTTTATGAACTAGTAGTAAGTTCATTGACTGTCTTTCTTTATGAACTGGGGTATGCACCTTTTATTGTGTAATTTTTGTCACTTTTGTTAAACACTTAACACTCAAACTCCTACTTTGTCAATTGGGGTATATCTATATCATATATGCCCCTTATGGCCATATGTAGTTACTTATGTAAGTTGTATATTGTGTTATTTTTCTTGATTGTGTCATGCATTTTCAACTGGTTTTGTTAAAAGAACTAAATTGTTGGGAAATTAGTTCAAAATTTTGGATATCCGAAATACCCGAAACCCGACCCATACCCGAGGGAATCCGAAACTTAAAATATCCGAAATATTTTTACCATTTTCTTTAAGGGTTGGGTTAAAGATTATTACCCCGATACCCGAACGGGTTTACCATTTCGCAACCCGACCCGCCCGAACCCGACCCGTGCTCTCCCCTAAGTACAAGGGTGATATCGATTGGGCTCCAAAGTTTTTGAGCGGGGGTTTCTTTTTTAAATTGGAGGGAGTTCCAAATTTTTAATTGGGTTTCATTCGGAATCTGGAGGGAGTTGTGATTTTTTTTAGAAATGCGGAAGTACTACGTAGAATATTTGGCATGATTATTTGGGGTAAAATCAATACATTCGTGTTATTATATTGGAAACGTCTAAAGTAACTTTTCAAAAAAATGAAAATTTTGAGTGACTATTTTTAGTGAATCGTTATCTACTAGTTACTTATCACTATATAATACTTCCTCTCCTCTGTTCTGAAAAGGTTCATCAAATTGTCTTTTTCTGGTTAATGAAAATCACTTTGACCAATGATATTTTAAATATGAAATTATTTTTAATATGGGAATTATATCAAAATGTTCCTTATTCCAAAAAAAATCATAAAAGTATAAAATTTATAAATTTTATACAATTATAGTAATTAAAATTGTTGTTCATAGTTTGTTATCATTTACCAAGAAAAGTCGGCATGAAGGACTTTTTCGAGACGAATGGAGTACACTATTATAGTGACTCTTGTCAAGTTACTTGTACAGTTGTACACAGTGAGTAGTTATATTTTTGTTTAAAAACATAAGTACTCGTATTTGTCCAGAAAAGCTCTATTACACGTCATTTTTGGCCTTTTTATTCGAATATTACTATTATTTAAGGGATTCACAATAAAGTGAGTTAAGTTTCAAGAATCCAAAAATATGACTTTTCTGTTATACACCAAACCGTTGCACACCCAGGAAAATGGCCATTAATCCGCTCAACACCAATCCATTTAACACCATGTATAACTACAAGGCCATAAATGAATTTTAATACTAAAAAGGTTAAAAATAGGAAAGAGTTCCTCAACTGCCACTGTTACCACCGGCACCACCAATATTCTTGCCGCACCACCGCCTAGTGACTTGCTCCCGTCATAGTGACCGCCGTCCAGTGACTTGCTCCGGCCATAGTGACTGTCGTCCAGTGACTTGCTCCGGCTATAGTGACCGCCAACACGAGTCACTACGGCCACAGTGACCGTCCGTCACCGGTCACAGTGACTGCCCACCGCCACAATTACTGTCCACTGGCAACAGTGACTGTCCACCGGTCACCGTGACAGCCTGTCACCGCCACAATGACTGCCCACCGATCACAGTGACCCGACCAAAGTGACTGCGCCCCTTTCCCGACCAGTAACTGTCATTGTCCACCCCTTCCATTGACCCACCTCAAACCAACCACTCCAACTAACCAGCGGCCACCGCACCCCAACCCAAGCCCCAGTCCACCACACCCCGCCCTAGCCTCACCGCACCACGCACAATCGATGTCCAAGACCTTACCTCCACCTTGCCATGAACCACCTCCGCCCCCGCTGCGACCACTCCCGCCGGCTACCGAGATGACAGACCCGGCACTGGCGGCACCAAGGACGGCAGATCCGCCACCGGAGGCACCAAGGACGGCAGATCCGCCACCGGCGGCACCAAGGACGGCAGATCCGCCACCGGCGGCACCAAGGACGGCAGATCCGCCACCGGCGGCACCAAGGACGACGGATCCAGCAACCGCGGTGACCCTGTGATAAACTTCCATCGAAGATGACGGCGGATCTGGCCGCAGTCGGCAATCCAGGAGCTCAGAGATTTAGATCTTTGTTCTGATCGAGTTTTACGAGGAGAAGGCGGCGAAGGCGGTTTGAAATAGAAGAAAATCGAAGAAGTAGAAGAAGACAAGGGTCCGAGTTGTGGCGGCGGCGGACGAATTTGTAGGTGTGGCGGCGGCAGACAAATTCGTAGGTGTGGCGGCGGTGCAGACACAGTGGTGCAGCGACAGTAGCAAATCGGCCGGAGCGGTGGTGGTTGGAGAGCGGTGGCAATGGCTTGAGAGATAAGTCTGGGAGGTGAGAAGCTTGTGTTGCGTCGATGGCTGCTTGGCGGAAGGGAAAGTCTGAGCAGAGAAAATAGATGCGGAGGTCTTGTGCGGAAGATGACGAGTCATACTTTTGGGAAAGTTAAAATATAATATATTTATGGAAATGAAAAGGCTGGTACTAATATACCTGCCATTATTTCGTCATTTTTTCTATTACATTTTTTTGTTGATAAAAATTAGGAGATGTTTAAAAATCCATATTTTTTTACAAGAATAAAAATTAATTAATATTAATTAAATCATTGTTCAGAGCAGATACAATAAAAGACGGTGGTGAATAAAGCCAAGATCGCTGCTCTGGCTAAAGAATGAGCCGTCTTATTCGCTGAACGCTTAATATGATAAAAAGTAATGAACGAAAAATGGTTCGTCATTTCTCGGATGGCGTCTCCTAGTAAACCAATCGAAGAACAGCTAGAACCGTGCTACAAAACATGTGATTTTAAATTCATCATGCTACAAAAATCCATATTTATAGTTTATCAGTTTTGTCAATAGTTTTTATACAAAACATGTGATTTTAAATTCCTCATGCTACAACAACAACACACATCCAAGCCTTAGTTCCAAAAGATATTGGGGTTGACTAACATGAATCAATACATGATATCACCACCGGAAAAGAAATCAAATAAAGATAAAAATGATAAGCTATTGTGTGATAATCAGTTCAGAATGAGTAAATGGAAGTCTGTTTGTTGTCATACATTCAATTTTGCTTTGACACATGATTACGCCTCATCAATTCATACAATATTGTCGACAAACGTTATACACCACAATATATTTATTGCATTGACTTTGTAAGTTTATCCATGACTATGCCAAATAAGAAACTAAGAAAGGACTCTGTTGGGGTATTGGGTCCAAGCCCAATACACCTGGCCCGAAGCATAAAGGGGGCCCAACGGAAGCAGTACCGACATACCGTTCGGGCAGTTATATTGTAATCATCAAATTACTTAATACAAGTTAGCTCCTGAGTTGAACCTTATTCCACTATTTTATATTTTCACACTTTACAAACCAACCTAACGTCCTTAAATATCCAAAGCGTGTGTTGACCTTTCCGATCTACGGGATAAAACCTCAACATACTCAAATCCGATTATGGGTGCACTTCGATAGTAATAAGGGAACTCTATATAGTCCTGCCAACACTAGTACGAACACTTGTAGTACAATACTTGTACATATCTATGATGTGCTGATACACTTGAGTGAAACGCCTTTTTTTAGTAAAAGCCTGCCAAAGAGCTTCTCGATACATCACTATCGTACCAGATGATAGTAACTGGAAACAAAGGTAAAAAACAGATAGTAAAAAGGTTTTTGTGCAAATGTGGGAGCCTTTGTTGCACTGTATAATGATGATGAATGGATATATGATGAATCTCTCCCAATTGCATTATGATATACTACGTCTATACATAATTCTTGTAAATAACCTATAAGGGGATAATTCTCTTGAATAATAATACTGTCATACACCGTTAAATTATTTACTTTCTTAGGCATATCAAGCACATTAATAGATTAACTCTTGCAATTAGAATTTACTCTATCATTAACCAAATAGTCTATTAAACTTCAAAGAAAAGCAACATATACACAAGTATATATTTATAAAAAAACATACTTTATATATGAACTCAGTTTAGTCAATACTTCAAACACAAAATATACTACGTCCATTCCAAAAAGATTGGTCAAATTAACTTTTCTTAGTCAATGGTGATTAAGTTAGACTAATAATATTTTTAATACAAAATTATTTAAAGTATGGAAATTATTATATTATCATATTCTTTATTAAAAATCTTTCATAAAATATAAAAATTATAAATTACACTCAAATATAATACCTAAAATCAATGTGTAAACTTTTTAGGATAGAAAGAGTAATAGAATAAGTTAAAGGATGTAACATTGAATTTAATGGGTAAAAAGGACAAGATTAATACCACAAAAATTAAAATTTTATTTTGAAATTAAAACATATCACCTTAAACTCGTTTGAACATGGTGGGGTAGAGTAATTAAAGAGAAAATGATAAATAGGTTGTGTTGGTAAGTAAATAATTAATACTAGTATTTTTTTAATTTAGTGACAGAATTTAGTGGTGAATTTTCTGTCTCTAATTGGTGGCGATATCTTCGCCACTAAATTCTGCCTTCAATTAGTGTCAAAAAGAAGTCCGCCACAAATATCTGCCAAGAACCAGTGACGGAACGAATCCGCCAGCAATCTGCAACAAATGACAATCCGCCACTAATTTCCGTCAAAGATTAACGGCGAACTCAAATCCGCCACAAAAATCCGTCATAAAAATCTGAATTTCTTGTAGTGGATATTTTTTGTACGTTTTTTTACTAGCCTTTATGTATGACCGACCAGGCTATTTTGAAGTGGAGTTTATTTTCACTATTTTATTAGTTTATGATAAAGTTAGGAACTGTTATGCTTAATTAATGTTATATGTTCCTTTATTATATTTTATTATTACATCATTGGGTATCAACAATTCGGAAAACCAATTTTTAAGGGAAATGTAGCAAATGAGCCTTCAAATTAATTTAAAATGTGGAAATCACCCCTTATATTGGAGGTTCATCCCTTAAAATGTGGAAATCAGCCCTTATACTTTAAGGGAAAAGTAGCAAATGAGCCCTCAAATCAAAAAAATGTATATAAAATTCAGTAATTCCTAGAGGGAGATGATTATATATTTATATTATGGGAAAACTGTCAAATATGTCCTCGAACTTTCATAAAAAAGTCAATTAAGTCCTTCTATAGGAGACACTGTCCGGTCGTCGTGATTTGGGGCGGTTCCCGGTGGAATTTTTTGATGAATTTTTTTGAGCATCTTATTCATTAAGTCTAGTTTACTCATACCAATTTTCAGCTAAAAATTTAATCGAGAACGCATTGAAATTAATTCGAGAACGCAAAAATGCGCAGTTATCTTCAAGAATTAATTTGAATGTGTTCCCGATTGAAGTTTTAGCTGAAATTTGGTATGAGTAAACTAGACTTGGTGAATAAGATGCTCAAAAAATTTCATCAAAAAAATTCACCGGGAACTTTCCCAAATCGCGACGGCCGGACAAAACCTCCTATAAAAGGACTTAATTGACCTTTTCATGAAAGTTCGATGACTTATTTGACAGTTTTCCCTTATATTACCTTTCTTTAAAGAAGAAACACAATCCCACCGTATTTTACTCCTGATATAACATAAATATCCTCGACATAAATTGATTTACCGAAACACGGGAAAAGGGGGGAAGGGTTGCCAAAACACGGGGATTTTCCGAGGGTTTACCAAAACAAGGGAGTCGGAACTCCCAATTCCGACCAGGGATTAGGGCTTCGAAAAACACCCCAAACCTCTAGTCGGATTTGGCAATTCCGACTAGAGTTTTTTTTATTTTTTTTTCGAATTTATAAAGTTTTGGTTTTGAGTTGTAAAAAATAAATGTTTTAGGGCTAAATTCTACCCTTTCCAAATTTAAAAGTTTTTTTAGATTTGTGCATTATTTTTGAAAATGAAAACTTAGCATTTTAATTTTTTAGTAACAAAACAATTGATTGTTTTATATTGTTTTTTTATTTTGTTTTAATTGCAATTTTGTAATTTTAAGTGATTTTTTTTTTGTAATTTTAATAAAAGTGAACAAAACAAATGTAGTTTTCAATGTAATTTATTAATGAATAGACAGTACATACAATAATAAATTTAATACAACATCTAAAGTTGTGTACTCGGCCCTGCTCCGTCCCCACCGCTAGTGTTCCAAGGCCCTGTTGTGTCTCCATAGTAAAACGACGAATTGAGAAATGACTCAACATAATCATCCGGTTGTGTGGACCACTGATAAGAATCATAATACGGCGGTGGTTGATCAAATGACCCACCTTGATGCGTTGAGAATTGAGGGGGTGTCTCCGGCCTCCATCTCTCCACCAACGCGCATATTAAACTATGGTCCACCTTCATACGGGCAATGTGCTCTACCCCCAAGAACCTAGCATATGCTAACATATTTATCACCCTTTCATCTCGCGCTTCACTTCCGAATGCAGCTGAAGGGCAACTGACGCATTTCAAGCACGAGTCTTTGGAATCTGGTTCATACCATACACGGTCTGCACGATGGGCACGAAGTGGCAACGTGAGTAGTGACTGGTTAACAGGCCCTGGGCGCGGAGTGTTTTGGTCCATTTGAAATTCCTGAAATAAGTAGTTATAAATTACTAATTTTGAAATTGAACTCTAAATCTAAATTGAGCACAATTTATAAATTCACATGTTTTGAACTCAAATTCTAAAAGTCCAATTTCACAATCTATATTAAAAATTCACAAATTACATAATTAACTACTTGTACACTCTTTAAATTGAATTTTAAGGCTATTTCAAAATGTAGCACATTTTATAAGTTTCAAGTACTTTATCGCTAAATCTTACTCTAAAAGTCCAATTTCACAATCTATACTAGAGCTAGCCCATGGTATTAATTTATCTAATTATTTATTCATTTAATTGTTCGTAAAAAAAAACATTTATTTGTTTATTATCCGTACTTTTATATTAATACCAATCGCTAGAATATTTTTGAAGCCAAAAACACGATCTCTGATGTAGGCAGGAACTAAATGCACTAGGCAGTAACTATGTTTGAAGTATGACTAGTATATTTTTATTGTAATCATAATAACAACAATTTGGTCGATTTTATTTTTAATAAAATATTCATGATAATTAATAAAGAAGACGTAGTTACAATGGTATTTTTAAAATTATTAACGAAGACGTACTTTTTTCTTTCTTTCAAAATAAATATTTTTTTTTTTGAAAAATCAAAATGAAGACTTAGTAAAAATGGTTCTACACTTCTATTGTTAGTTAATGAGGTAAAACAATCGTTCCATCTCTAAATTAAAATTCACAAATTACAAAATTAAGTACTTGTACACTCTTTAAATTTAGTTTT